TTAGGATGTGTCTGGGTGTGGGCCTCTTTGCATCCATCTTCTGTGGGACTCTCTGTGCTTCCTAGATTTGCATGTCTATTTCCTTCACCAAACTAGGGAAGTTTTATTTTATTATTTTTCCAACTAGATTTCCAATTTCTTGCACTTTCTTTTCTCCTTTTATCACTCCTCTGATGTGAAAGTTGGACAGATTGAAGTTGTTGTGGAGGCTGTTTACACTATCCTTGTTTTTTATGGATTCTTTTTTCTTCTTGTTCTGATTGTTTGTTTTTTGCTTCATGTTCCAAATCATTGCTTTGATTCTCAGCTTCATCCACTCTATTGTTGTTTCCCTGTAAATTGTTCTTTATTTCAGTTAGTGCATCCTTCATTTCTGATTGGATCTTTTTTATGCTATTGAATTCCACACCAAGTTCCTTGAGCATCCTTATAACCAGTGTTTCGAGCTCTGAATGTGATAGATTGCTTATCTCTATTTTGTTTAGCCCTTTTTCTGGAGTTTTGATCTGTTCTTTCATTTGGGCCAGGTTTCTTTGTCTCCTCATTTTGGCAGCCTTTCTCTGTTTGTTTCTGTGTATTGGGTAGAGCTGCTGTGACTCCCTGTCTTGGTAGTGTGGCCTAATGTATTAGGTGTCCTGTAGAGTCCAGTGGCACAGCCTCCCCTATTACCTAAGCTGGGTACTCAAGGTGTGCCCTTAAGGTGGGCTGAGTACACCCTCCTTTTGTACTTGAGCCTCAGTTACTGTTGGCAGGTCAGTGGGAGGGATTTACCCAGGTCACTCAGCTAGTTAGTTAGTTAGAAAACTAACACCACCTGCTTGGAAGGATTGGCTGTGGCCACTGGCCACCAACCTCCGCCTTTTGTGTAGGATCAGCTGTGTGCAGGGCAGGGTGGTGCTGCTCTGACATGGTCTGTGGCTGTGCACTGGGTGTGCAGTCTTTGGGACTTCCTGGGTAGTACAGGTCCAGGTCAGCCCCTACCTGTGTTTTGCTCGGGGCCGCCCTGCCTGAGCTATAAAGTAGTCTGAGATGGCTGCTACTTGTATTAGGCTTGGTGATTCCTGGGTGACGCCAAACTGTGAATCTAGGCTGGTGGTTGCTGGTGCCAGGCCTGTGGCCTCTTAACAAAATGTATAGGGGCTGGGGCTCTCTGAGGCAGGCTGTTGCTTGTTTGAGAGGATTTAGTAAGTTGAGAAGCATGAGCCAAGACCAGCCATTCAGATGGAAAAGCAGCGAGGGTGGGCCCATAAATTGGATGGGACAGAGTCTGAGGGGATCTCCAGGGCAGGACAAACTGTGTTAGCTGGGTTGACAGTCTCAGATGTGGCACGAGCCCACCTCTGCAGGCTCTGTGGTTCTGTGGGGGGGAGAGGTCAGAAAAGGGACAATGGCTCCTGCTCGCCTTGACGCCAGACACTTCAGTTCCTCCCAACTGCTCTCCCAGTGCTGGAGCTTAGAGGGGGTGAGTCTGAGTAAATCTGCGTGTGGGTTCTTTAAGAGGCACTGCTTGGGATTCCAGGAGTTTCTTCCACCCACTCCATCCCCACTGATTTTTGTAGCCAGAAGTTATACAGACTCATCTTCCTGGCATTGGCGCCCTGGGCTGGATGGTCTCGTGTGGGGTGAGGACTCTTCGCTCCTGAGATATCCTTCCTGAATTTTATTCGGTTATAAGTATTTTACATTTTCCATGATGATATTTTCTTTGCCATTTAGGTTACACGAACACATGTTTTCTAATTTTCAAAAGTGCAAGGATTTTTAGTTATCTTAAAAAAAATCAATTTGTAATTTGTTTACAATCTTCTATTTCCTTACCCAAATTTTACCTGTTTATTCTGACCTCCCCTGTAACATAGTTTGTTTAAATGCTGTCTTGACTCAGTTTGAAGCCCTGGCTGGAGGTCTGTCAGTTCCTCCTTTGAGGCAGGTAGGTCCATATTGACAGTAACTTCCCATAATATCTTCTCATTTTCTGGGGTCACCATGCACCAGCCTCTCTGCTCCGGGCCCACAGAATTATTGAAGTTAGCCAACTGACAGAGAACCCATGAAAACTAACTAACACCACCTGCTTGCCATACATTATTGGCCCCTCTGGTGCCAGTTGGCTGTATAACCCAGATGCACCCAGTTTTGGGGTATCCACCCCCACCCCTGCCTTGTATGGCCCTGCTTGGCAGCCTTCTCTCATTTTAACCTGTGACAAGTCTGGCACCACATCTTTGATGCTTTGCCATCACTGTTTTACAGCGCAGTCCCTGAGCTCCTCCTGAAGGCCGTGGGTGGGTATGGCTTCCAGTGTCAGATACTATGCTGGTCCCTGTGGATGGCTTTGGTCCTGTGTGGGCTGGGTGAAGTACTTGGATGTCTTTGGTGTTGACTCCAAAACAAAAAAAAAAAAATTTCTCCTACCCAAAAAAAAAAAAAAAAAAAAAAAAAAAAACAAAATAAAAAAAAAATTTACCACCAAAAAAAAAAAAAAGGCTTTGTATCAAAAAAAACACCAGGGGGCGCTGTAGTTTCACGTTAGCGCTGTCTTTCGGGAACGCCCCGGCTGCCCCGGCTGCCCGGTGCTGCGCGTACCACCTGGGTTGGGAGGAGGGTTGCCCTGGGATATTTTTCTTGAGCTGCTCCTGTTTAGTTTTCAGAAACTCAGTCCAGGGGACAACGGTGTCCGCGAAAGCATGAGGAGTGCAGGTCCTGTGTCTTTGGCCGAGCACACCACCTCTCCTCTCCAGGTTCTGGTTTCCCTGTCTATGAAATAGGCATTACTAAAAACTTGATCCTTTTTTGGGAGGGCCTCAGGGGGTGGTGGTTAGTTTTGAAACCCTTTCCCGAGGGAGGACCTATTCAGTGTTTCTTCAGGACAGTAACCTTAAATCTGAATGCTGACGCTTGCAACTTGCAAACCTGAAACCTTTTTTAAATTTGAACACCGACTCAGAAATCAAATGTGGCCCACTGAGTCTAAGTCCAAATATTACTTGACTCCTAGTTGCGGCAAAGGGCAGCATGCCAGGCTCAGCTCTTTCAAGGGAGAAAGTCGTTCCTGTGCATTTTATTCGTCCCACTAATTTTCAGCACTGCTGTCACGGTTCTGCACCTCTGCACTGGGCATCCTACTAAGTGCTTCACAAACAGTAGCTCATTAATCTCTCCTCAGTCCTCATGCATTATCACCCTCCTACAGGTGAGAAATTGAGGCCCCGTAGCTAGAAAGTGGTGGCACCGAGCCCAAACCCAGAGTGAGCAGACCTCCAGGCAAGTGCTCTCAGCCAACGTGGACACCGAAGCTCATGGTCTGGTTTCTCTCACTCCTGACCTGTGATGCCCATCACATGGCCAGATCCAGTCTGGGGAGCACTCACGGGCTTTTAAGGGATCAGCTCAGGACCCAATCTGACCAATGATCACTTACAGTGGTTTGGACTCTGGATATTTATCACATGCTCTAGAACCTTAACAATCCCGCCCTGCCAGCCAGGGGCCCGGGAGACTTGGGCACTGTGCTCAGGTGGTCATGGCCATGGCCTTGCTGGGGTGTGTGCTTTCACACCATCCGCACAGTGCCCCTCAGCTCTCCAGTTTGTCCTTTAAGGTCTATAATTCCATGATAGAAACTTCCTCAGCCTCCACATTAAAAAAAATGATTATTTTATAAATTGCTCTGAGTAGTGGGTATAGATTCACAGGGACATTTTCATTCAATGCCTGCCTTCCAGAGTTCACAATGACATTAGCATTGGAAAGCCACGGGGAAGCATTATAGTCAAGAACTGTATTTAACCTGAACCCAAGCCCTGCATTAGCCAGACTGATTTGACCACAGATCTCTATTTGTTTTGCTGTTTTTCAGAGTATCTGCGAATCTGGATGCATAGTTCACACTCTGGGGAACATTGGTCTTGCTCAGGGTTTCTCACCCTCAGCCCTATTGACATTCTGGGATGGACAACTATTGCGAAGGGGATCTCCTTTGCCTTGTAGGACTTTAACAGCATTCCTGGCAAAAATTTGTCCTTAGAGGTGAAAAAATTTTTTTTCTATGTGTAAAGCACAGATACACATATATTACGTAAACAGATATATGGTTTGTGGTATTACAAGTTCATGGGGAGGTGATTCGGAAAAAACAACCGAAAAGACTCCTTGTGGGGGTGATAATGAAAAAAGTTTGGTCAACACTGCTTTAGGTCAATCTTTTCGTTTCTATGCGGGCAACTTCCTCAAGAAAAATGACATGAGTGGCTCTTTCAAGCTGAACTGCAAAACTAAGCAGTTCTGTTCATGTGGAGAAACAGCGTTTGAAAGCTGGCAGAAGCTGAGGCTAGATACACTAAAGACAGGACTGGCGTCAGCCGCTTGGCTACCAACTGCTAAGCAAACCCAAAAGGGACTCCGCCAAGATCACGTCAGTAAAATCACCACGATTTCTAAGAACAAGGGGCTTGGGGGTGGGGTCTTCCCATCGCCAAAGAGGCTTGAAAGCTACACTGTTCTGTCCTGTGCACAAGATTGAGGATTTCTCCACTATTGAATGTGGTTGACTAAGGTCTCCCAGATGTGTATATTTGCACACATTTCCCTTCTCTACCTGACTGCCCTTTTGCTTGAGTATGTCTGACTTCTTGCTCTGACTTCTTCAGACGCCACTTGTTCAGAGAATATCACATCACACCTCTTGACTGTTTGCCGCTGCGCATCCATGGTGGGGAAATAATGAACAGCCCCCTGATCCAGAAAGTCCAGAATATAAAGATCCCTTCTGCTGCAGACAGCCTGCTAAAAGGAGTGTTTTTAAATTAGAAATACAGCAGATCAATGATTTTTTTTACAGGTTTATCTTTTTAATAATTTACTTCATTTTTCTCCATCTAGCTTTCAGTTTTGGGAAACCAGTGACTAAGAGTCACTAAGAGTCATTAAGAGTCATTTTCTCTTTCTTCTAAAAAAAAAAAAAAACCCACTTGAACTCAGCAGTGATGGGTGAGGAACAGAGTCAGAGCTCACAGGAAGACATGCCCTTCAAAGGCACCTGTCTTTCTTGATTCTGCTTCTTGAGCAAGTCTGGCACTGCCTCGCAGACCTTCCTCAGAGCCACTATCAGAAAAGCAAGGTAAGTGGGGACAGATGGGGCCATTCCCAGGGCTTCATGCTGTGGGCTGATTTCTGCACAGGCGTGAGGACTTTGGAAGCCCTGTAGCTGGCCAGCCACCCCCTCAGTCCTATCCCTCGGGGGTCTTGGTCGGTCCAGTGCTCAGATTTGGCTCCTATTTTTGGAGGTCATACACGATCTACCCGGACCCACACCTTCTGAGTCCTCATCTGAGGGCACTCACTCATGCACACACCTGGCCTACGTCCACATGCTCAGAATATGCAGACAATTTTCACTGAACATACACACTTTTCTGACTCTTGCTTCTGCAAAGACTCCAGGTCAAGAAAGACTGCACAAATGACGCCAGAATAATTCCAAACACCTACCGGCTGTGTGTACTTTTGTGGGTTTTGATAATTTCCTAATTCCTCAGCCTCTTTTGTTTCTTGAATTTTCACTGGCAATAGGGTGCAGAAAGTCTACAATTGCTCTTCATTTCAATAGAATTGCTATTTGTTGAACACATTTTTTTTTGAGACCCTGAGATGCATCAGTCTTCAGCATCTGTTTGCAGGAGTAAACCAAAATCTCTCACTTGAGAAACAGAGAGTTTAGGTGTTTGGGTGTGTGCCAGTGAGGGTGGGAGGTAGGGAATAGCTGTGAATTACTCAGCACTGTGAAAAGGGTTTTAATAAAGAGCCTCGGGGTACCATTAAGGAGAAAGGGAGAAGAATAAAGTTAATAATATCATAGTAACTATGTATGGGGCCAGGAGGATACTGGAAATATTGCGGGGGGGGTACTCTGTAAAGTTCTTGATTGTCTAATCACTATGCTGTACATCTGAAACTAATACAGAATAATACTGGATATAAATTGTAATTTTTAAAAAAGGAAGCAAGAGGAATTGCCTTTGAGTCAGAAAGCTCGTTCCTCAATTGCTCTGATGCACATGTGAACTTGTGTGTGACTTTAAGGTTTTAACCTCCTCATCTGCCGATTTCGATAGGAGAGGAGAGTGTTGTGAACTTGTGTGCAACTTTCAGTAGGTTTTGACCTCATCTGCTGATTTTGATAGGAAATGAGGGTGGTGGAGGATGCAGAGATTTCATTTCTGGCTCTGATGGGTCTTTTCAAGATCTGTTATAGTAATCTCCACTCAGAGGATTCAGTGCATGGGATTGATTTTCACATATGATTTCGGTGAAAAGACCAGACATTTCCCTCAGTTTACCCAGCTAAGTAAGTACTGTAACCTTTGGAAGGGCCTGGAGAACAGGTTTGCTGCATTGGTGTCGAATTGGCCGGGGAGAGGCCAGGCTGGAGGGCCGGGCGTGTCCCCACCTGGGACGATGCTCTGGTGGGAACGTGAAACTGAGCGGCGGGGCACAGGAACCCACTTGCGCCAATACTCAGGAGTTGGTTGTGAAACATTCAGGAATTTTATGAGGCAGTTGGTAGCTCGACCTTGTCCGTGATGGGAGTATTTACACCATGGAAACCAGCAAAAACCATAACTAGGAGCCCTTCCAATCTCAGCACCCCTGACCAGCTTTGCCAGTGTATCCTGGGGCTCAGAGCCTGACAAGCAAGCTCTGCATATACCTGCGTGGCCTTCGGAAGTAACTTAACTTCTCTGAATCGTTCATGAGTTGTCTGCACAATGGCCCAGTATGCTTGGTTGGCTGAGAGGAGCAGTTTTTGTTGGGATGATGGGGTGCTGGGGACAGGAGCGTGGGAGCGGGGGGTAAATGGACGATACCAGTGAATGTGCCTTGAACTCTAAGAAGTGCAAAGCATGTAGGAGGAATGAGAATTTTCATATAAAGGCAGTTGCTTCCAGCTTAGTGATCACCTAATGCTTACTGAGTTTTTGGAGTTATAATCTAAAGGGGTAACAGAGGCAGATATTAAAATACTTTCTTTCTGTTTGTATGTTGGAAAGGCCCTTGGTGTAGTGCTGTTGGGGGATGTCAGCTAGTCTCGAACTTCCTGCAAGTGACTTCAGTGACCCAGACTACCTTTTAGAAACACATTCCCACCTCCAGAGGAGAGAGCTGAAGCTCCAGCACAGGGGCAAGCTCGGTGGCAGAGCTGGAATGTGGAGCCTGTCTGACTCCAAAGGGCAGGACTCTTCTTTTAAAAAGGGTTTTAAATTTTTTTAAATTTTTATTGATGTATTGATTTAAAAGAGAAAGGGAGCCGGGGAGAGGGAGACATTGATGTGAGAGAGAAACATTGATTGGTTGCCTTCCATAGGTGCCCCAACCAGGGAGTGAACCTGCAATCTAGGTGTGAGCCCTGACCGGAAATTGAACTCCCAGCCTTCTAGTGTACAGGCTGATGCTCCAACCAACAGAGCCACACTGGACAGGGCCAGAATTATTTCATTGGGCTGCACTGACCTGTGAGAAACTGAGCCCTTGAACATGGGAAGCTTGGAAAGGCTGCGGAATGATCTGGGGCAAAATATGAAGCAGCCGTTCACTGCACTCAGCACTGTTTTGACCTGCTTTTGTTTTTACAGAAATCCTGTTTGCTCTCCTCCTCATTCACTTCTTCTGGCTGGATTCCAACCTGCCTTGGGGAGCCTCTAGATTTGAAAATGAATACCACGGATGTAGCAGACACTACCATGGATGACAGCATCTACAACAATTACTATCTCTATGTCAATATCCCCGAGCCTTGCACCAAAAAAGGCATCAAAGCCTTTGGGGGAATCTTCCTGCCCCCGCTCTACTCCTTGGTCTTTCTGTTTGGTCTGCTTGGAAATTCCATGGTGGTTCTGGTCCTGTTCAAGTACAAGCGGCTCAGGTCCATGACTGACGTGTACCTGCTCAATCTGGCCATCTCGGACCTGCTCTTCGTGCTCTGCCTCCCTTTCTGGGGCTACTATGCAGCGGACCAGTGGGTTTTTGGACTAAGTCTCTGCAAGATTATTTCCTGGATGTACCTGGTGGGCTTCTACAGTGGCATATTCTTCATCATGCTCATGAGCATAGACAGATACCTGGCGATTGTGCACGCAGTGTTTTCCTTGAGGGCCAGGACCGTGACTTATGGGGTCATCACCAGCTTGGTCACGTGGGCAGTGGCCGTCTTTGTCTCCCTGCCAGGGCTTTTATTCAGCTCTTGTTACACAGAGGAGGGGCGTACCTACTGCAAAACCAAGTACACGCGCAACTCCATGCGGTGGAAGGTTCTGAGCTCCCTGGAGATCAACATTCTAGGGCTGGTGATCCCCTTAGGAATCATGCTTTTCTGCTACTCCATGATCATCAGGACCTTGCAGCACTGTAAAAACGAGAAGAAGAACAAGGCGGTGAAGATGATCTTTGCCGTGGTGGTCCTCTTCCTGGGGTTCTGGACACCGTACAACGTGGTGCTCTTCCTGGAGACCCTGGTGGACCTGGAGGTCATCCAGGACTGCGCCTTTGAAAGACACCTGGACTATGCCCTTCAGGCCACAGAGACCCTGGCTTTTGTCCACTGCTGCCTTAACCCGGTCATCTACTTCTTCCTGGGGGAGAAATTTCGCAAGTACATCATCCAGCTCTTCAAAACGTGCAGGGGCTCTTCCGCGCTCTGCCAATACTGTAGGCTCCTCCAGATTTACTTCCCTGACCCCTCCAGCTCATCTTACTCACAGTCCACGGTGGACCACGACCTCCACGATGCTCTGTAAAAATTGGGAATGCCGAAAATGGAGTTAATCGGCTTCCCAAATGAAGAACTTACTTAAAATTGTGTTATAGTAAGACTTCCCTGAGCGAGAAAGTGTCAGGGAGAAGATGTACATCCGCTGCAGTAAGCCGGGCTTCTCACCCTGCAGTCAGCTTTCCTCCTCTGCACACAGGTTCCCTGCAGCCAGAGCTCACCTGGGCTGAGCTGTCCTTCCCTGCACCAGGCTGGCTGGTGTGATAAGTAAACCCGAGGGGAACTCGGAGCAGCTTTTCAAAGAAGCTAGGAATAATGCTGGAAGGAGAAGACCATTCGCTTCTAATCTGACAGATGGGGTTCTCCTGAGGAAGTAGAAGAGATAAATTCTCTCCTTGAGAATTCGCTACTTCCTGCTGGGAAAAAAAAAAAAAAAAAGGTCTTTTTAATTCATTTCTAGCTTTCACGGAACAATATAGAAAGCTTTGACATGCTGTCCCGGGTTTTTTCTAATAATATATCTGAAGCCAGGTGTATGCAGAAAGGAATAGTGAAGTGATGAACTTAGATCTGATCCTTTGAATGTAAGTGATTATTTGTTAATGAAAGCCAAACTTTTAATGCTGATTCCGAGTACAAGTATACAAAGATGTTAGTATGGTCTGATCTCCAAATACAAAATTCAAGGTGTTAAAAAATCCAAACATACTTGTGGAAATTCAAATACTTTGTTTTAATTATGAGAGGTGAATATTGAAAATTGAAAAAGGTCACATAGTTCCTGATACATTTATTTGCAGTCTTTTGCTTATTTACAAACAGTGCCTTCCAAAGTGAAAATAACAAGGATGACCGAAGCATGACAATGCCCCCTTTGTCCCTTTGAAGTGTCCGCCATCCAGGCAGGTGAGAATAATCAGCAAAAACGTTTTCGTTGACGTGACATAAAAATGACTCAAAATGATGAAATTGTGAGAAGTGTCATCCTCTCTTTTAAAACATTGGCCCCGGTTTTTAACTTTGGCGTGACTCAAAAATGCAGTCATTTCCTGTCACTTTAATCATGTAATTCATCATTTTACACCATGAATATCGTTCTTACAGCCTTAATTCACCAGTTATGTAAAGACTTGAACAAAGTCTGGGCACGCTTGTAAAACAGGGACACTTATAAGCCCTCCAAAAACAAAAGCCTATCTTGCAAAAAAGCCTACCTTGCCATTGACTGAGCAACCCCATTCAAAACTGCTTCTGTAAATTTACACATTATTGCATGCTCTACATTGAAAAAGAATGCATTCCCCGAACATTTATTTTTAGAAGAGTGATTTGAAAAGGGTATGTTGATGTTGCCTTCACAGAAAAAACATAAAATAAATGGGTGTACAGTCCCATGAGCCTTTTTTCCTGATCGTGTTTGTTTCTGATCTGAGGGGGATGAGAGTCCCAAGCAGCCGAGGTCCCCCTGGGCTTGTCTTCCCTACATCAGCTGTAAGATGAAGATGCTGTGGATATGCCCACGGGGAGGAATCAGGGGGTTTGTTGTTCAGATCTCCACTTGGGGTGGGAGATAGAGTTGCTATCTTGTTCCAGTGCACTTGGAGATCAGGGTCAGTACGAAGTGGGGGTCGAGGGGCAGGTTCCAGGCAGATTTCTTTAGAAAACCCCTACGTGGTGTGCTGGGGCCTGCCGCATTCCCACTTTGCACTCCCTTGTGAGCCTGGGCACGTTTCCTTCCTCTCTTAGCCTCTGTTTTCTCTGGTCTGCCTCCTCTTTCCTGGTAGAGCATGTGATTTTATTCATTTAATCACAGGGAGACAGACCAAAAGACAAGGACTGGCCAAAGGGGTTACCATCACTTCACTCCCGATCACACAACGCTAACTAAGCAAGGGTGAGGTGCCAACCACACAGCTTCCAACCCTCCACCAGCAGTGGGGGGTCATCCATCACCTCAAGTCACTCGGGGCTTCCCTTGATCCAAAGCTGGGGGGATAGTTCCTCAGGATGGGACAGCAGCACCTCTAGGGACACCCAAACGTGACCTTCTCGGAACACTGAAAAGAAAGGTCCCTCCCAGTCAGTAACAGAAACATAGAAATGCAAGCCAGCGTGATTTCTACACACAGGTGGGCTAAACGATGAATTTTTCAGACATGAGGCCCGTTCCTTTGTTGTTAGGCAACATGCCTAACTTCTGGAAGAGTGGGTAGCATTTGTTTAAGAACAAGAGAACCAGGTTTGCTTCTGGGCTGATGTAAATGTTTTGAGACTGGACAGAGGTGGTGTCTGCACAGCGCTGTGAATCTGCTAAATGCCACTGAATTGCACATTTTCAAATGATTGGCTTTGTATTATGTGAATTTACCTTAATAACACCACCACCAACAATAAGAATAATAGGAAGGAGCTCTGGCAGCACCTGTCCATAGTAAGTGCTCAGATGAAACGGAAAAAACAAATATCATTTTTTTCCCAGGAGAGGAAAAAGTACAGGGTGATGCCAAAGTGTCTGCAGACCTTTAGGGAAATATTTCCTAAGAAACCCTTAGAGCAATTTGGAACATTGGATATAATTCCTATTTGTTGAATGGCTGTTTGGTGCCAAGCAGAATGCTGGGTTATGGAGAGAAGAATAGTATGAGAGAGTAAGTTCTGCACTCATCGAATTCACGATCTGATAAAGGATAACTCAAACACCAGCTCAACTATAATAGTAAACGCAGCAGATACGATCAGAGACTTAGGAACCACACGCTTTGGGACCCCAGAGGACGGACACGTGGATTCGGTTTTGAGTCTTTATAATATAATTAGGTTTTGAAGTAGGCCTTGTACACGGAGCTTGGTTTTGATGAATGGAAGGGAGAAAGGACGTTCTAGACTGATGAAATAGCACATGAAAAGGTAGAGTGGTGTTAAGAGCACACTGTGCATTCAGGGAGTGGTTGGTAGGTTTTTGTCAAGTGCCTGTGTGGGCGGTGGGGAAGAGCAGCAAAGTAAGCAAAGATGAGAGAGACAGCAGAGGCTGCAGTTCTGGGCCTGGGAGCCGCAGCGACCCTCCACCGGGCAGGAGGAGACCATCAGTGAGCTTGGACGTGTGCTGCGCGTACGTACACTCCCGTCCAGGACCGGAGCGCGCGTGCTGCGGCCACCGGAAGCACTGACAGGTGACAGCTCTCGGCTGGTTCCCTTTCAGAATTGTCCTCTCTGGGCACAGTTCACACCCAGTGAGTAGAAAATGACCGAAACAAAACACCTTCTTGCCTTAATTGGGGACAACTCCGAAGAGCCATTTCAACTCCAGAGCTCCCCGTAAGGTTAGCGGAGGCCTCTGTTGTAACTGACCTTGCAGTTCGCCTTTGCCTGTTGGTCTTGTCCGGCTTCCTTCATGCTCTTACGGGGGCTGCTCCCAAGAGGGCTCCCCGTCAAATCTGGATGCTGATCTGAGACCCAGCGTCTGTTTCCAGGAATCCCAATCTAAAAGGGGACTTTTGGCCCTGGCTAGTGTAGCTCAGTGGATTGAGTGCAGGCCTGGGAACCAAGCAACCATGGTTCGATTCCCAGTAAGGGCACATGCCTGGGTTGCAGGCCAGTTCCCAGCAGGGGACACACAAGAGGCAACCATACATTGATATTTCTCTCCCTCTCTCCTTCCCTTCCTCTCTAAAGATAAATAAATAAAATTAAAAAAAAAATTAAAATAAAATAAAATGGGACTTTTGGATCACAGAGGGGGCAAGTGAGCACCTAATATAAGTGGAAATAGAACTCAGGTGTGGGAACATGAAAGGGCATACTCTTTGCATCAGGAATGTCCTTCACTCATTGCCCTCTGACCATCAGCCCCAATTTGACTCTTGGTTCCAATGCTTCCTTTAGTCAGTCTTACATTTGCTCCCACAATTTGCCTGCCTCATGCCCTCAAGACCCTCCTGTCTTGTCTACCTGTGGCCATGCCTCAGTCATCTGACACCCTATATCCTTTACCTGCCAGTGACTTCCTTGGTTTAAATGAGCCAGACACAGCTCCAGCCATTTTTGTGGTCACAGTACTATACTCCTTAAAAAATTTGCAGTGGGGAAAGCCGAATTCCTCTGGGATGCATGGAAGTAAAAAGACAGCTGGCTCTCTGGCTCACGGGCTCTCTAGCTCCTGGGCTGGCTCTTTCAGGCTATCTGTCTCTTCTTTGAGGATGCCTGGATGATGGTGCTGCAGCTGCCTGCATTTCCCAACAGGTGGTATTTGGGATGGGAAGGAACTCCGGGAGCAGCCTAGGACTGGGCTGGCCTGGCAGAGCGGGGCAGGGTTATTCTCTGGGTGTTCTAGAGGGGACAGGCTCTGAAGCAGAAGCCTGCCATTCTTCCAAAGTTGTGTACATTTTGTATCTTATGTTTTACTTTGTAGACTAACCCTAAAGAAATAAGATAACTAAAAACAGGGGGAATTCCAGGAGAACCCAGGTGTTAGAGTGTAGCCTTAATTGACAAGCTGGAAGTGACTAATGCATGTGGACAGCTGTTTGTCCAAAACTGAAGCTTTTGAATAAAGACTCCTTTCCTTTATCACCAAAAAAAAAAAAAAGTTTATAATGGCTCCAAATTTCCTTTCAGAAAATCAGAAGCTCACTAAGTACTTTCATACATTGAAACTCTTCTTAAAGTAGATAAATTTGGTTTTATTCCCCCAAAGAGGTTCAGGGGAAACCGTATTCTAAGCATGAATTAGACTAACTCCACGGACAATAACCACCAGCTAAACTGCCTAGCAAAATGCCTTGTGCAAAGCAGTTCTTTAGGTTTTTTGGTTTTTTTTTTTTACTGAATGAGTGAATTTCCTTATCTCTTCATCAAGTTCTCTGCACGGTGATTCAAGTTTCTATTTCACCACGAAAACTTCACCAGTCCTCTCTCCAAAACCCCCATTAGGTTTCTAATAAAACTTTATGTGACACACTTCAAAGATTGATTGAATTGCCCCCTAGTTCCAGAAATTAGTAGGCGGTCTTTGGGTCAAAAATTACTTCATTAAGACTCTTGGTATGAACACAGCTGCAGAAGTCTGCATTTTTGCCTTCTCTGGGAAACTGCAAAATAACAGCAAGAAGAATGAATTTAAAACCCCACAAATCCCATCCTTGGTCAAATGGGGAAAGAGATATACCTTTCAGAGTCCAATATCTATGTAGTAAGTTCTACTAAAAAGCAGGTCAAAGCTGTGGGAAAAGATGACAAGAAGCAGGGAGAGGGTGCAGCAATGAACTTCAGGAAGAGCTACAAAGACCCATTTCCTGAAGCCTGGGGGACACCACGAGGTGCAGGAGCTGAGCCGAATAGGGTTGAGTCAGAAGTCCTCCTAGTCCCATTTTCGTTGAGATTTGCCAAGTTTCAGGTTTGCAGGAGGCAAGTCTGTTCTGTGGCAAAAGAGCCACTGGGGCCGTGAAACCGCTAGTCTGGAAAACTACAGGAGCCCTCGCCCCAAACACAAGTATGTTCAATAATTCAGAGATGGACTCTAAGAAAATGATCAGGATAGGAGTACTACAGACATCTAGGAATATGATATCAAATAGATACCTGTCCTGGCTTCAGTGCTTAATGAGGCACTGCAGAGGTGTCCCAGCAAAAAACGAAACAAGATAAGAAGGTTTTGCTCTGACCACGTCTGCGTAATATCACACTGCACGGACCAGCTCTGTGCTGTAAGAGGAATAAACCAGAGGGGTACAAACTGGACCAGAGGGACATTTTACAAAATGCAGTAGTCCTCAAAACTGTGAGCATCCCCAAAGACAAGGAAAGTCTGAGAAATCGTAGCCAAGAGGACCCAGAGGCAACTAAATGTAACTAGCTCTGGAAGAGGAAAAGGACATTAGCTGGAGACTAAGGAAATCTGAATAAAGTACGGCCATTGGTTAATAATAATGCATCAATATTGGTTCATTAAGTACATAAAAAATGCTTCATACTAGTGTCAGATGCTAGTGACGGGGACATTGGATGTGGGGGTAAAGGGGAATTCGCTGTACTTCACAGATTTCTGTAATTCTAAAACTGTTATAAAGTATAACGTTTATTTAAACAAAAGATAAGGTATCTCTAGTTGCAATGATAGTGTTAATAACTATAAAAATCAAGTTATTACTATAAGCAATAAGGTAATTAAGCAAGTTAATAGGGCAAAATATTAATGCACCCAAGCCCTGGCTGGTGTAGCTCAGTGGATTGAGCACGGGCCTGCGAACCAGTCAATTGCGGTTCAATTCCCAGTTAGGGCACATGCCTGGGTTGCAGGCTGGTTCCCTGCAGGCCAGTTCCCAGCAGGGGATGCCTGAAAAACAACCACACATTGATGTTTCTCTCCCTCTCTCCT